AAGGGTTGCTTGGACACCTATTTCGCCTATGGGTTGGTCTAGATTGACACCTCTGCTTCGTAAAGTGTTCAAGACATCATGAGCTGTACTTTGGTGGCTCGAGGTTGGGTTGGATCCCTTAGACTTAGGTGGGTCTTGGTTTTGAGGTCGCTATGCCTCAGGGTTATCTTGGTTTGAGTTATGAGAATGGGCGTTTGATGTTACTTGAACATCTTCTCTCACTCGACTCCTACTTTGGTTGCATAAGAGCCCTTGCAAGACGACCCCAGGTCGGACCCCTTGACTAATTAGATTTTTTTGGGCTGAACTAACTTTTCGGATCACACAGATCTCAGGATTAGGAGTGGACCCTTGGGACTCTGCCTCTAATTGAAGACCTAGGTGTTGGATAATGGATTGACCTGAGTTCTACCGATAATCCCAAGGGATTGTAGCATACTGGTCCCTAGGTTTGAGAATGTTAGGCTTAGAGTCGGTTGTGGAGCGATCATCATAGTCACCTGAGGTAACTAACATAGTGATTGCTTTAGGTGGGGTTTTAGAATCTAAACTTAGGTAAGATCTGAACTCAATGACTTAGGGCAGACCTAGCTTGACTCTAGAGGCAAAACCTTAACTGAGACATAGGCTAAAACTAGACTGGGTTAAGACCCTGAACTAGGGTAAGCCTAGTCTGGCTCTGGAGGAAACTCTAAGCTTAGACCTATGCTAGAACCTATATTGAAATCTAGACTAGATGGGTATGAGTCATGGCTCGGACCAAGAGTGGGTCTAGGTTCGGACTTGAGTGTGAGCCTGGTTCGGACCTGGACTGAGCTGGGTGCATGCCTAGGCTTGGACCTAGAGGGTTGTGATAATCAGATCGAGTATGGATCCGGACTGGATCAAAGTTGGTTTAGGCACGAGCTCTTGGCTCAGACCAAAAGGGGGCCTAGGTTTGGACCTGGGTGTGAACCTGGTTCGGACCTAGGCTAGGCTGGGTATAAGTCTGCACTTCGACCCAGAGATTTTTGATGGTTAGATATGGACTTGGATTGGATCAAGGTTGAACTGGGAACGAGCCTTCGGCTCAGACCAAGAGAGGGCCTAATTTCAGACCAAGGCGAAACTTGGTTCGGACTTGGGCTAGGTTGGATACAAGCCTGGACTTGGACCCAGAGGGTTCAGCTCGGACCAAAAGCGGATCCGATCCGAGATCTAAGAGTAACCAACAGAAATAAGCAAGCACAATACATGAAAACGTTTGACCTAGATTAAAAGGTAGGCTTGGCTTGAGAGTGGGTTCCTAACTATTGAAATGCCGCTAGGCTGATGTAGGTCCCACATAGGTCCTGGGCGCCTGTT